TCCGCAAACCCGCCATACAGCATACGCTCGAATACTGGGGAAGCACGGGCTAGTGTTCTCGGACAGACAATGTAGTCGTCTGTTGCGCCGTCTGGGCCGATTCGAAGAGTGAGATCACCCCAAGGGTCGAGCCTGATAGTGCTTAAACTCATGCTTGAACAAAAAAAGCAGGAAATCGACAGAATTGCAAAGCGAGAGATTCTGAGAATGCCCGATTTATTTCTTAAATTATGTACTACTCCCTTCCTCTCTTTTATATTCGTATTGCCTAATGACATACGAGATTTTGGTGGGTTTCTGTATATAAGCTATTCTAGCTATTCCATCGTGTTTTGCGATCGAGCTCTAAATGTATATTTTGGGCATATGCCAAGAGACAATGCATTGTGGCTTGCGGAAAATACTAGAGGTTGCACCAACACAATAAACTGCACTAACAGGTAGCACCAAGACATCATAGGTAATGGGGAGCCCGATGAAAAAAAGGCCAACGGTTATTGCCTCGAGTTCGTGTGCAAGGTGCTTGCCTCAAAACAGGTTGTCTTCCTGATATTTTCAAACAATTTTCATGCGCCAAGTGAAGTGCTCCTTGATGCCGAACTTTACAACATAGTGACTAAAGAAAGGAGTTTCCATTCGTGGTCCTTGAGCCAGCTTCATAATCCTACCATATTTCTGAGAGTCTAGGTGCCCTTATACATTATCGCATATGCAATATGAAAGGGCGCAAGGACAAATGATGATCTACGACTTTGTAGCACGTCAAGCTGTCTTTTTTTCTGCCTCTCTTCCATTTGGCTTCGAAAATTTCCATCCTAGAAGCAACAGAACAAATCAAATCAAAACCAGTAAACAGCCATTCCTAGTACTCATCTGATCTATGCATGCCCAGTGTCAATGGCTAATTGAATGTACCTTGCATTGCCCACTAAAGCAAGAAAATGACTCCTGGCGAGAAGCGTTAACAATCATTGTCTAATAAGTCTCTGCGCAACATAAGGTGGAATTTTACAGTAACCGTTTTGGTAAATCTACGACGGCACTAATTAGAAGCAGAAAGTTTGACTGGAGGTGGAGCTTGAGTAGTTTTAGCCGATGCCAATGCCGCTGCCAAGGCCGATATCACGGAACTCCACTTATAGGGACTGAGCCACGTGTGGGCTTAACCGTTTTGAGAAATTTACGGATGCACCAATCACAAAGCAAGATTTAAAATCCTTCCATGTTGAAGATGCTACCTAGGTAGTATTTTTGAACAGGTCCTTCCTACTCACAACCATGCCAAGACTTTCTGTAAAGTAAATCACGACTTCTATTTCAAAGGAAAGTGATGATAAATCAGAGCTTGCTACTGCTTTCGAAACCCCTTTAGTAACAGAGAATAGGACAAATTTCGAAAGCGCTGCAGCCAACGCACAGAGAGCTGCCTCAATTGTATCTATTCTGGCGGCATCACTGGTGATTTACATTACTTTTACATACACTTTTCAATGGTTCTCATTGAATTTAATAAACCTTGGACAGCATGGTATGGCAAAGTGGAGGTAGGTGTCACGAACCATGAACTTGTATCAACTTCTAGTCTTTTATTCTTTTGCTATTATGTGTTTGGTATCCTTGTTGTAGAAGTCACCTTCATGGTTCGATATTTCTAGCTAGTAAAACGATCGAGTTGTTCGGCGAGATACATGAGATATTCATCTCCCAAAGCTTTTTGGCCATGTGAAGAATGCCCTTACTATTATGTCTGATATCCAATCCAAGATCCGCATGTGCTATGATAGAGGCCTCAAAGATCTCAGCAATATCGTTGCTATCCCACAATCCTTCCCTCCTATCAAGCAGCTTAAGGGCGCTGATAATTCGCTGCAGCAATCCCAAATCATCCGTTAAATATCCAGCAATCGTTATATAGGGTACAATGTCGGCGCCAAATGTAATGAGAGGCCGTGAGGAAGAATCCCTTAATTTGATGATCGATTCGACTTCAGGTAGGAACTCGTCCAAGACGCCGAATGCAGGGAAGTTTTGGCCGCTGAATGTCCACGGCTCTTTGTCTAGCATAGCAGTCCATGTCTTTTGCAGAAGACGTATCTTGGATGCGTCGGATAAATCCTTAGACGATCTTGGACAAGAAGCGTGTTCGAGGATATACTGGTCGAAACGGGCGCTCCATTGCCAAAATTGTCGGTATAACTGTTGATAAGCAACTTTTTCATCCCAGCTAAACAGATTCAATAAGTACTCAGGCTGCTGATTAGATCGTGTATCACTATGAGATGGCCTGCTTTTAATATTACTGTACGCTTGTTGATAAAACATATCATGGGCAATCTCAAATGAATGAAGCTCGCCTCTAGCAGCATCCAATGTCATGATAGGCGTAAGTGACTGTAACTCGAGTTGGCCAAGATCCGGACTTGCACGTGAGATGGTTATGAGCGGAACCACTTCACTGTCTGTGAGAATATGCGTCTCCAGACTAAGGCGGGAGAATAACACAGCGATATGATCTATAGTACGCTTATTTTGGCCTGTAGATGATATTGCTTGGTGCAACGCCACTGGAAGACGACCTTTTCGGGATGTCCAAGAGCGACGCTTCGAATCGGGGACCAGCAAAGACACAAGCAAGCCAACTCCCGATTGTAAGTGCTTAAGTGATTCAGCATATCGTCCTCGAATATTTTCAAGGCATATGAACAAGATACAACAAGCTAGAGCGGCCTCAGCATCTTCTGGTGTCGCCTTGGACATAAGAGGTTGCAAATGTCGAATTGCCATATTATAGTGCAGTATAGCAGATCGTTCGTGCTTGGTTGCAGCTGCAAAGCTGCAATTGACTGTTTTTTGTGTTAGGAAGTCAATATGAGCAGCTGCTAATGCTATTAAGGCATAGCGTGTTGCTGCAATCTGCGATAATGACCGGGGGAGGAAGTCGACCCAAAAACTTGTGCTTGTCGTTGAATCGGACAAATCCTGGATCGTATATTGAACAGCATGATTGAAATATAGATCTTGGGTGTTTATATCTGTGAGCAGTGACTGTATGGGCCGGACAAGTTGTATTGTGTTATACTCTGGATGTCCTTCATGATGGGTCACACTCGTCTGGCGCAAGAGGTCATAGCCATCGCAATTGACCCGGTCATGACAGCAACGGTGGCATGTCGGTTTTGCCTCGTCGCATTTAAGATGGCGTTTTCTTGACGGACAGATAATGTCAGAGTCCCTGAGAGCATGTCCAAATCCTTCGGGCTACTCACTTGCTGTTACATGAGATGTTAGTCACGGATCTCGGTGAACAACTTGATTGGAATGAATCCGGAAGAGAACGGAACCGACCACGTTTTACATCCAGAACGTACTCTTGAAGCCCGAGCTCTCTTGCGCTTCATCGGTTGACTTTGAATTGGATTATCGCGGCTGTTAACTGATGCCGCCATAACGTAAGGCTTAGGCACACAGCATGGTGTTTTTTAGTGGTCAAGCAGGTTGTCGACGTTGTTTTACGAGAAGATTTTGATTCCTAAATAACGATTTCAATATTGCCCACAGACTGTCATTGCGCCGACAAGACCTTCAGAGCTTACTTAGTGGCTGGATGTTGTAGATGCCCCACCCTAACTTGAAGTATCCCTTACATGGGGCTTTCTAAAAGGGATTACCTAGGTAACTTGGAAGCTTGAAGGTGGACCGTCATCGACGGTTACCTACCGGTATTTCTGGCTTTCTTCAATGTTAGAGCCACAGCACCATCAGTCTTACTTGCCCCATTATTAATAAGCAATTGAGTCACACCTTGAAATCAAGGCCAAAAGCCTGCTGATATTATGTAATCACTGAAGAGTCTGAGTACAGATGAACCTGGCTATACGGGCACGTGATATACGGGCATCCCCTTTATACAGGCATGTTTTTTAGAATTCCTAAAAATTTATATGATGAAATTGACTTAAACGGGCATTCCTTTATATAAAAGTATATAATTCTAATTTTCTTAATGCCCTTATAAAAATTAGTAATATTAATTTAAGCTTTAATCTATTATATAATGAATTTATAAATTCATATAACAAAACTAATAAAAATAAAAAGACTAAAGATATAAAACGAGACTAAAGGTATAAAACGAGGCTAAATACTGAGACTGAAATTGTATATACGGGAAACCCCTATATATAAGCATTTAGGCCTTGAAATTTTTAGGCCCTTATATCCAGGTTCATCTGTACTAACTAAATAAACGAGCTCAGCTTGTGGCTCTTTGCTCCGTACATCTTTTCCATACGATGAATTTTCTCAACCCCCCCTGCTCGCAAGTTCGCAATTCGCCTGAATGCAACTCAGTGGCTGAATGAGCCTTAGCCAAGGCCAATGCCACTACAAGTTCACAATGCAAGCCCTCAGAAACAGATAAACATTAGAACAGGATTGAAATGCCTGTCTATCACGTAGCGGTGCATTCGCAATGTTTTGATATGCTCATCACTCCTCATCATTTTTCTCATTGTGCTGCTGCTATCTCAACATTCGTTCTCTATACTTCAATGACATTTTGCTATCGCAAACCGTGTCGATTTCATTGTATATAATTTAACTTTTCGAGCACATCCTATGTACTTTGTAATCATTATCCAAGCTCGGGGAGGTTTGAATGGAATTCAAGTCCAGCCTTGTCACTCATAAGGCTTGGTGGCAATACTCCTCTCCTTCTGCAACTCAATGTTCATGGTAGGATTTCCAATCCAGCCTGAATTCTCTGGATAAGTCATTGGTCTATACGGGCAATTGGGAAATCTTTGGTGATACTTTCCACTTATGTATATTCCATGAGCTACTTGCGACTAGACCACTCTCTTTCAGAAGAGATTTAGTTAGCTTCTTGTCGAACATTGCGAAAACGACTAGTACCACAAATTTTGAGTTTCTTATGACAATCTTGCGACCTTTTGATTTCCTTGTACTTCGGAGGGGTTCAAGGGACCCATTGAGTCAGCATGTCTACCCCCAATGCCGAATCGTCCGATATCTCACCGGATGAGTGCGAGCGCTGTTTTGCCTTTTTACAGACCTTCCACGGACAAGAGTTTCTACAAGCATGTTACGAGGAACGCGAAGAACGAAAACGTATCAGCAAACCAAATACCATTCACGGAAAACTCTTGAAACTCTCTGAAGTTCGGAAGCATCATGAATGGGAAGCACACAAACGCGATATCTTCTTCTACTACATGCGAAATTTTAGCTCCGCAGGCATATTACGAGAGATCACTGCCACAGGCTACCGGTTCTCAAGTCAATCGTAAGTACAGTAACTGAGGTCTCACACGACAATTAGTTAATGTATACTATAACAGACCGCGAACTTGTGATAACAGATTAGAGGCATGGGGCTACCCTCTTAATCCACATTCCAGGCAGATATTTTTGAGTCGATTGCGAGAGGAAGCAGCAGCTTGGGAGAGAAAAATTCAACTTGACCTTCAGAATGGTCTCTCGGAAGTATCTGACCTATCGAATTTAGAAACAGTTGCTTGTCCCAGTCATATCCGCCTCAATGTATTCAACACACCATTTGGATTTGGAGATTCTCCAACTCTTGGCACGACTAAAGGAAAGACAATAACCGATGTCATAGAACCACTTGACCACAAAGCGTCGAAATCCATTATGCCACAAGGCTCTACAATTTTGGACCATACTTTCCAATTGGATAGTGTTTCGCCGAGAAATTTTGACGAATTTACCAATGGGCAGATTCCAATGGACACTTGCTTGCCTTCTTCGGCAAGTTCATTCATCTCACAGGAAGTCATTGGCTGGGCCGAAAGTCAAAACAATAACGATGTATCTCCCGAATATATCAACCCCAGCGTATTAACTGCACCAATCTCGTCTGTCAAATCTGATACCGATTCTGGCTATTACTCGATGGAAGTGGTAGAGAAACTCTTAGGATATCAAGAAATAGATGATGATATACAAGAGGAACAGGAGGCCTCTGTTGATGGAGACTTTGACATGGTTGACCCTAGACCTGATAGTCCGGATCAAGCGTATTACCAACTCTTCGATGCTAACTCCATGATTCCATCGAATGAAATGAACTCTCTTCTACGGCAGAAGCTAGATTCTCCACGCCGATCATCTATACTACACACGATTCCTTGCAGAAATGATCACATGGATATTGCACTCGGCAAGAGAACTGTATGCGAATGTGGGGTCACTCAAGTCCATGCTGTTTGCCTCTGCATGATCGATTTACCTGACCATCAAATTCTCACAATACTAGGACATGTCTTCAACAAAGACAAGATTGATGGGGCAGGGAATACTCCACTCCACTATGTTGCAGCAGCTGGGCGAAAGGATGTCCTTGAGTACATGATTGCGTCTGGCATTGACCCAGGACGATTAAACACTATTGGCCAGAGCTTCTTACATGTTTTGGACGCCAGCCGTTTTAGTGATGATTTGATTAACTTCCTTGAGATGTTCAAAGATAGCGGTTTACTAGAGCAACGTGATCATAATGGTCGAACGGTGCTGCATGGTCTTCTTCGAAATCCAATACTGCCTCATGTGTATCATGACCTAGTAGATTTCTACGGACCCGAAAGAGTAATACAATTCTCGCTTCGGGATAATCAAGGTCTGACAGCAGCACAACATATACGAAATGTTGCCCAAGCTCAAAATCCTTATGCATCATATGGCCATGTCGGCTACGCGCAAGCTATAGTAGTCTACGAAAATATCGCCAATCGATTCATTACACAGACTGAAATCCCTGGTAACTCTATTGAGGAGACACAAAACCGTATTGCGGTTCTTAGAAATTCCAACCCCAACGTGGCGGATTCCGTTCCGAACACCGAGGATAGTACGGGTAGCAATGCCCTCCATTGCTTGGTCCTACCACCCAGAACTTGTACTCTGGAAGATACCGAAAGACGCCTCGATAGGCTGAAGCAATACATATTTTTCGGAGCAGATATCAATCATTATGATCAAGCCGGTAGAACACCACTTCTCGCAGCCATCATCGAACCTACTTCTCCCACAAATGAATCCGCCACCAAAGCGATCGTCGAATTACTTTGCCAGAGCGGTGCTAATATCTATCAAAAGGATCGAGATGGCCACACTGCATTATATCACGCGATACGCAAAGGTTATTGTGACTGTGTTGCCATTCTACTTCAACACGGAGCCCATGTGAATTGCAGAGCCCCAAATGGACGCAGCTATCGAACGGCTGCGCAGGATTATTTGCAGGAACATCTATCGGCAAGTGATCAGGAAGGGTTTGATAAATTACAAAAACGACTGGCTGTTGTATCGGCCTTGGTCGCTTACAGAGCTGTATTGGAGCCAACGCTACTCCAGGCCTGGGGTGTTGATGCGACGTGAAAGTAATTGCGGGAAGAGATACATTGTTATCGTGATTCCATTGACTGTGAGGCAATGATATGGTGACGGGCCAATCAAGCGAGTCGATGGATTTTGGGTTGAGAAGCCTATCAATCGTCTCCTTCCATACGGTTTTCTTGTTCTCATCTCAAATTGTCCACAACCTCTCAAACATCCGCTGACGCACACCACACACTCGATTCTCCACATCTAACACCGACGAATAAATCTCATCAGACAAACAAAAATTCAGATGGAGCTGCCAGAACTCCAAGTCTGGATTGATTTCCTCTAAATATCGCCACAATTTTGGTAATCCTCACTCAATGATACATTTTTGAACAAGTCATAAACATTTTCAAAGTTCCTGAGACGCATCATGGAGCTTCAGTACCTATATAAGCCAACAAAGGAGTCAGAAAATATAAAAAGTTCTCTGTGCCACTAGGCTCGCCGAAGAAAAGATAATGGAGATGGATTGGAGAATTAGTTCATAAGGAGGGGTATCTAAGCGAAAGATGGAGTAATTGATTGTCTGAAGATAGGTATCTTCAGCAAGCTCGTCTGATGATATCATATATTATATTATATATCATAGATAGCGAGCCAGCTGGATTACAGACTTGGCCAGGAAAGAAGCAAGTATAGCCTTGGTCTCTTTGTCGAATATTTCTTATGAGATTATATATTAATGCATGGGTGGAATCCTCAGAGGGTTCTAAAAATTGCGACTTTTATCTCCTAGGATGTCGTACTATTCGATGGGCGACCCCTAATTTAATGTGTATTCAAGTACAAATCTAAAAGTCTTTAGGGCGCAGCTAATCGCACAAGACGGATTTAATTAACGTTTTTGAAATAATAGAATAAGAGAAATTGTAATTATCAACTCATAGTATAAAAGAATTTCCTCGTGTCATTGAGCTAAAGTGCTCTCGGCAAATGTATAACTAGCACTCGCTTCATGGCTCCAATTTCCTCCCTTCGCCCAGCCGTTATCATATCACCAATCCTCCCACTCCACCTACAATAAACCACTCAGCCAACCACCAAAACCCAACCCTCTCATTCTCCCGGTTTCAAAGCAACAAAGCACTGAAAATGCGGCACATTCAAAAATTCCTCAAAATCCAACCCCTCCACTAAAGGATCCACAAACTCCACCCACTTCAGCTCCCCCATCCCCGCTTCCCTAGCACACTCCTCATGCATTTCCCTCTCCCACACATACGCCTCAAAAACCAGCGGATTTCCCTTCCCCTCCTCCTCCTCCTCCTCCTCCTCCTCCCCCTCCCCCTCCCGCGCATCCACAGAAATCCTCACCTTCGCACCCCCCTCCACCCTACACACAATCTTCCTCGCAACGCCATACCGCGACCCCCCCACGCTCCCCCCACGCTCCCCCCACGCAAACTCTCAAAATTCGGCACGATCCCCACACACCTCCCACTGGGTTCCAGATGCGCACAAATATTGCGCCACATGGCTCCGAGTTCCCGTCGCCCAGACGCATAGTTCAGCAGCCAGACGGCGAGCACGAGATGGAATTTCTCGCCGAGATTCTCGAGCGGCGTGCTGCAATCTGCGACGCGGAAAGCAATTTTTGGATTCTCGCTGTTTGGATCCGCGTCTCCTCCTCCTCCGCATTGAATGCGTGCGGATGCTATCATCGTCGGGGAAATATCAATACCCACTACGCGCTCCGCGCCCCATTCCAAGAGCTTTTGTGTGTAATATCCGGTACCGCAAGCGAGGTCGAGGATGCGGAGATCGGTGATATTTCCAATGTGTGTCTGGATGGCTGCTAGTTCGAAAGAGGAGCCTGGCTACTTTTTGATAGCAGCGTAGCGAGAGCCGATGGCATCGTATTGGGATGTGGATGGAGTGGATGACATGTTGAGTGGAGGACGGAGGGAAAGCTTTCGTGGGGCGAGTTTGGAACTTGGTGACTAGAGGATGTGGAGAGAAGTTGGTAGCTCAAGATGCAAGGGATTGTCAATATGCGGTGTAACAATGCTTGGTGTTTCGGATTTAAAATCGAAGGATGAGAAAGAGCCAAAAAACTTCGAGGAGTCAAACAAACATCGAAGATGAAAATCAAAGAAGATGAACAAAAACCCTTCTAATCATCAACCAACTAATAAACTCCTACCCGAGAAGGATTTAAAAAGAAAATAGAGAGATTCAGAAGCACTTTCCAAGCTCCAGCTCCTCAAAAGACTTCATCGCACTAGCTGTCCGACCTGCATACTTTCAAACGCAATCACGTGGAGTGGCTTTATTCCAAGGTCCTAGGTATCTACAGTTGCGCAAGATGAAACAAGGCATGAAGTGTTCAAGTGGCATCGAGATTGATCTCCCCTCGCACATCTTGCTTCGATGCAACAAACGTACAAGATTACCACACCCCAAACTTCAACTGCCTACTATATCCACAACCCAAAATAATAAACATCATCACAACATATCTCCCCTCAATCCTCCCCCAATCCTCCGCCCCCTTCCCAAAACCGCAACACCGCAACACCGCAACACCGCAACAACTACACACCCTCCCGACTCCTAACTCCCTTCACTAGAAGCTCCCCTCAATTTCAAACAATACCTACACTACAGTACAATACAATAACATCCATCCATCCATCCATCCATCCACCCATCCATCCATCCACTAAACTCCCTTCCTTCCTTCCTTCCTCCTTTCTCTCAACATACCATTAATCATCCATCAAACATCGAAATCCAACATCAAAATCCAACATCGAAATCCAACATCAAAATCCAACATCAAAATCCAAAGAACCAACTCCGCAGCTTCCTTCACAGCCACCTCTAACTCATTCATCCACCTCTAACTCATTCATCCAGCTCTTACTCATTCATCCACCTCTAACTCACTCATCCAATTCCCAGATAATACACACCAACAGTCTATCAATTTGATCAACATCTCCTCTTTTCTGGCAAAAAAAACAAGCAAACTAATCTAGTATGCTGAGAAGCCAGTGCGTCTACTTGGACTTATTGGGCAGTAAATAATAACTTATTAATCTGAAACAAATAAACTATATAGGTACCAAGACATACAATATTTTCAACAAAAGTGCTTAACAATCTGTCATCGATACAACTAAACTCAAGATAATCCACGCCAGATCATTTACCATCAACATCTCACGGATTATAAATTTAACACTCACCCACTTAATCACCCAATCATATTTGTGTTCTTCATAATGATTGAATTTAATTCTACCATGTATAGTACTAACGTACGTATGTATATTATATAGCAAGTAGCCCGGGCTACTCACATATAATCAGGCATAGACAGAACCATACCATTCTCAACTCTCATGATCTCGTAATAGCTTTGTAACAAGAATAAACAACCAATCAAGACAGCTAATAGACGAATGCCACTCCAAACCCCAAACCCAGACCCAATCCTAAAGCAAGAGATTTCTAGAAAAGCCACCCTTTCCCCACCAGCTCCCACGTTACCCCTCACCACGCGCCACTTTCAATATACCCATCCAACCCATTGTCACCCTCGCCATTAAAGTCCAAGATAGACGTGGGAAAAGATGAACAAAACCTCGCATATAACTCCATCCAATAGACAAAACAAGCAGTTGTAAATGCTAAAAAGAGACCAAACAAGCCTGACACTATGCTCAACATCTGCACTAGCAAATGACAAAGTTTAATTTGATAACGCCACACACCCTTTCCGCATTTGCTTCATATATGCTGCAACGACAACATAGACGCCAGAATTCTAAAATGCATGCCGAAGGTACTATACAGTACAGGAATTGATTTTGAAATCGTGAATCATTTACATGCCGGAGACTTTGCGAGTGCTAACACTGCCAACTCTCCCACTCGTTTTGCGAACTGCTCCAGAAGTTTCTTTATTCCGAAGACTGTCACCACTACGCTTAGGACTGCCGCGAACCTTTCCAAGTGAGCCACTGCCGGATTTGACGGTGGATGGTGTCTTAGGTCTAGCTCCGACACCAATGTTCTCAACGTCGTAGCTACTGTCATCGATGGATGTGTAGATTGTCGTGGTGGTCTGACTTATGGATCTCGCTGACCTCTCGCTTCGGGCTGGAGATCTAGATGATTTACGGGTACGCATGCGGAGTTGCCATTCCTCTTCAGATTCATTTGTATCAGTTGATGACCGATGAATTGAGATGACTTCCGTTTCACGATGTGCGCTCTCATCTTCGGAGTAAGCCGAAGCATGACGCCCGTATGGGTGGTGTCGGTCAGCTCTGCCTGTCTTTCTTGGTTGACCTGGAGTTGGGGCCGGCAAGTAATCCTCCTGAGCTCCAATGCTGTGGCTTCTCTCATTGTCTACTTCACCAAGTGGGGTTCTTTGGTTGCCATTTGGAGGAGTAACGACTTGACTCTTAGTTGTGAAATGTCCCTTTCTTGGGGTGACTGGAGCGATATTGGCGAGCTTCTCCTTCATTCTGATCTCAAATTGCTCTTCAATCCACCACTCTCGGAAAGTTCCTTGGTTAAGATGAAGCCAATGCTGTTGAGGACCAACCACCATTCCCGGTCTCATGAAGCGCATATACGCAATGATCTCGTTGGCAGTGAATCCATATCGGTAGATTAAATATGCTCCAATCAAACATCCAGTGCGTCCAAGTCCAGCTTTGCAATGCACAGCAATGCCTCTCTTCTGAACAGTAATCATCTCATGTGCCAAAGTAATGAACTTTCGGACAACACTAAGTGGTGGACACGTGCCATCATCAAAGATCATGTCCAAATGTTCAATACCCAGCGCCGTGAAAAAAGATGGAGAGTATAGTTCCGAGTTCAAACGAACCACCAAGCCAATGTTTCGTGATGTGAAATGCTTCAAAACATTTTTGAAAGGTGTGGGTAAGGTTGGGTGGGTATCCACGTCTTCCAATGTTGTTGGCAAACTCGCGTACAGTGGAGAAGAAGGAAGTATTGGTTGCACCGGGTGA